CCCGAAGGGCAGGGCGGGAGGACTACCAGCCTGGCTGGGGGTGTGGGGAAGGGGTGGGGCTCCGCCTGGCAGCTACGGGCAGGGCTGGGAGAGGTAGAGGCCGGGCGGACCGCGCCCACTCTCCTTGCTCCTGGCGCTGCTGCGGCAGTGAGGGGAGGAGGCTGGAGGGAAGGGCTGCCAGTCCTGGGAACCTGGAGTCTGCGGTTTGGGGCGGCCGGATGTAGATTGCTTTTAGGAACAGCGCTCGGCCCAGACCAAGCCAGCAGCGGATCAGCCACCTGCCAGGAGCTCAGGTTAGTGGAGGTGCAATCTCTACCTCTAACCCCCATGACCTGAGGAGCCCCCTGCACCCACAACCCCAGTTCCTGCTCCTGGGGGTGAGGGGAGGTGGGGGGGGGGGGTGGTGGTCAAGATCCCTTATCAGTCCTGGGCCTCCAGCCCTCGCGCGCACACAGGTTCACCTGAGAGAGGAGTTGGAACACAGTCAAACCGTGGAATTTACACGTGGGCCTGACAGGCGGAGGCAGCGAGGCTGTGCAGGATGTGGGGACCAGGTGCTGGGCCCTGGACGATTGCTCTCTTGGAAATCACCCCCCCCTCTCCCACCCCCAAATCCCAAACCTCCAGCTTCTCCGCCCTCAGGCCCCTGATTCCTTTGGGCGGCGCCTCCCCGAGGCTCCTGCTCACTCACCTCTTCCCCCCCGCAGCCATGTGGACTCTGAGCCGCCATCACCTGTGTCTGACTTTCCTGCTGGTTTGTGTGCTGGCGGGAACCTCCTTCCTCCACCTCTACCAGGGCCTCTTCCAGGGCGGCCTGGACCTGTCTTTCCTGTGTGCAGACCGACACCTGGTGGCGGCCCCCGTTGCCATCTTCTGCCCATCGGGCGCTGGGACGGCCCTCAACACCTCCTCTTCCTGTGCCCAGCTCCCCGCGCCCCCCTCGGGAGCCTGGACCATCTCCCCGGAGGGCCGGCTTGGTAACCAGATGGGGCAGTACGCCACTCTGCTGGCCCTGGCCCGGCTCAACCGCCGCCAGGCCTTCATCCTGCCCGCCATGCACGCGGCCCTGGCCCCCGTGTTCCGCATCACCCTGCCCGTGCTGGCGCCCGAGGTGGACCGCCGCACGCCCTGGCAGAGCCTGGAGCTGCACGACTGGATGTCGGAGGAGTACGCCCGCTTGCAGCAGCCTTTGCTGAAGCTGTCGGGCTTCCCCTGCTCCTGGACTTTCTTCCACCATCTCCGGGAGCAGATCCGCCGGGAGTTCACCCTGCACGACCACCTCCGGGAAGGGGGGACTACCTGGAGACCATGCCCCAGCGCTGGAAGGGGGTGGTGGGCGACCGCGCCTACCTGCGGGAGGCCATGGACTGGTTCCGGGCCCGGCACGAAGCCCCCATCTTTGTGGTCACCAGCAATGGCATGGCCTGGTGCCGGGAGAACGTGGACACGTCCCGGGGGGACGTGGTCTTTGCCGGCGACGGACAGGAGGCCTCGCCGGGGAAGGACTTCGCGCTGCTCACGCAGTGCAACCACACCGTCATGACCATCGGCACCTTCGGCTTCTGGGCCGCCTACCTGGCTGGCGGAGACACCGTCTACCTGGCCAACTTCACCCTGCCCGACTCCGACTTCCTGAAGATCTTCAAGCCCGAGGCCGCCTTCCTGCCTGAGTGGGTGGGCATTAATGCAGACTTGTCTCCGCTCCAGAAACCTAGGTCTCCGGGGGCCTAGCAGCTTCTGGGGGAGCTTGTGGCGGTCCTGCAGCAGGCGGGCACCGTTTTGAGAGTGATTCTAGTCGGCTAGACCTTCAGAGAAAGAGAGGCTTCCGGCCACTGCCTGAACATTCTAGAAGCAGCAGGAAATATTGTCTTGACTGGCGAGGTCTGGGCCGCCTGTGGTGCCCAGCCCTTACCCACAATGTGGATGGCTGTCCCCCAGGGGCCGGGCACTACCCTCTCTAGTGCTAACTTCTCAGGTCTTTTCTAGAAGAGATGTTTTTCTTCTCCTGGGCCCTCAGGTCTGAAGGAACTCATGGGTGTTCTAGAGCAAGCGCTGGCCAACGCCCCCTGTGTCTCTGGAGTGGTTCTAGACGGGTCATTTGCTCTAGAGGGGGGCACGCTCTAATGCCCGTGAAGAACCCTGCAGAGGGATGGGGGGGGGGGCGTCCTGGAATTCTGGGTCACTTTGGTGAAGAGTTGAATAAAGGTACAATCAGAAGCTCAACACCTCACCGCTGCCCAGAAGATGGATGGGAGACAGATTACGTGTAGCTGGGGCAGTCTGTGAGAAGAGTGAAACTCTAGTTCACTCTCAGCCCCTGGGGAAAACCACTCCCCCTCCCCCCAGCAGATAGGCTAAAAGGTGGGAGGTGGAGGAAGGGGGTGGCTGCTGAAATGCTGGAACTTCCGGATGCAAGACTTTCCAGAAATGTAATGAGACTTCTTTTTTTTTTAAGCTCAGAAACTGACATGTTGCCTCCCAGTATGGGATGCCTCTCCCAGTTAAGGGTGGTCCTTCCTCCGCCGCAGCTGGGCGGCTGGGGGAGATGGGATGGATTTGGAGTCGACTGAGATATATGTGCCCTCTGGGCTGGCAGAAAGCCGATGGATTTGGCCCCCTTGCCAACCACTGTCTGTCTGCCCCTAAATTCACTGACTCTGGCCTTGGGCAAGTGAGGGATGGAAAGATCCAAGGGTATGCAGACCCTGCACTAGTCTCATACCCAAGCAGGAGTGCCCTTGGCTAGGATCTAGCCAAGGAGGACCGGATTCTTGACTCAGATTTCAGGAGCCCCTTAGTGCTTGGGTCCTTTTTGCTTTTTTTTTTTTTTTTTTTAAATATATCTTTATTGATTTCAGAGAGGAAGGGAGAAGGGAGAGAGAGAGAAAAAAACATCCATGATGAGAGAGAATCGATTGGCTGCCTCCTGCATGTCCCCTGCTGGGGATCAAGCCCACAACCTGGGCATGTGCCCTTGACCGGAATCGAACCTGAGACCCTTCAGTCCGCAGGTTGACGCTCTAACCACTGAACAAAACCAGCTGGGGCCCCTTGATGCTTTTTGAAGGGGATGAAAGTAGATACTTTTATTCCAGACTTGTTTCTAGTCTTCTCATGGAGGTTTTTTTTTTTGGGGGGGGGGGTGTGTGCTATTCCCTACTCAGCTGCCATAGGTGGGAGAGGGAGGTATGAATTAAAAGTCCACATCAGCAAACTCTGTCTCTGTAATTTTTTTGGAGTCTTTTGTGTGTGTGTGTGTGTGTGTGTGTGTGTTAGGAGGAAAAGTGCTGAACTTCCAGGGACTCTCATGGCCCATGTCTTAGGGTATTCTCCCTGCTCAGATCTGGCAGCCTCTTGTTGTCAGACGTGTGGTCTCTGAGCCCCAATTCCATTCTCACCTCTCAATACTGGCCCCCAGACCTCACTTCCCTCCGGGACCTTGGCATTCAGCCCCAGAGGCTGGGAGAGAAGGTGGAGGAGGAAGTGAGCACAGAGTCTAGGTCTTGAACTACATTTCCCATAATGCCATGGGGTTGGCTGCGGCGCTCTGGAGGGAGACCAGGGGGCCTTCTGGGAGTTCTATTCCTAGGGCTGGGGAGGGCCGCTTTTCGCGTCCTCCTATGTCGACGACGCCGGGGTCTTGGGCACCTAGTGGGGAGCTTGGGTCCTGGGGCCCGGGATGGGGAGGAAGCTGAGGCCGGAACCCCGTTCCTCGTGCTTGGCAAGCCGAAGCAGAAGGGACACTTCTTCGGTAAATGCTGGGAAAGTTCCGGTCTAAAAGGCGGCCGCCTCTGTGACGTCACCGCGCGATGGGCGGGGACTCCCTTTGTTGCGGTCCAATCAGGCTCGGAGTGCAGCTTCTGGGCGGGGCCAAGGAAGCCCCCAGGGAGTATCCCTTGGGAATTGGGGCTCCAACTAGGAAGTTAGAAGTCCGAGGCCGTGAGAGTACCTCGTGGCGTGGGGCGAGCCGTGCCTCTGACCCCAGTCCAATGCTCTCGATACCACGCAACCAACCTCACCCTCGCCCCTAACCAAAACCCCTCATTTTAGTAGTGGGAAAATAGTAGGGTGGAGGGACGTGGCCGGGTCCTCCTCTCGCAAAGCCCTCAGAGCCTGGACCCCCGGCTCTTCCGCGAACCCTAGTGTTTGCGGGCACAAGGCTCTGGAGTCCGGATCGGGCAGTGGCTGATGTGGGTGCATCGGGACTCCTCGTGTTCCTAACGAGAAGTGTGCGCCCTGCACATTGGGGGGAGGTGGGGGGTCCGTTCGTCTCGGGGGAGGGCATCTCTTCGTTTAACGCTCACGGCCTCCGGGTGAAAGGACCTTTCCCGGAGGTCGGCGTGGATTGAACGCCCTGGCCTCAATGGGGCCGCGGTTTCCTCTCCTGGTGGCCGCGCTGGGCAGCTGCCTGCTTCCTGCCCTGGGTTGTCTCTGGTGTGATAAAAGGGTCGTGGAGGCTCTAAAATCCTTGGAGACGGATTACCTGCCCGACCACTTGGGGGCTGAGCATCACAAACCCCTGATGGAAAAGTTAGAGAATGCCGTGAAGGATTTCAAGAATCTGGAGCTTGAGGAGGACGAATCCTTTCTGGAGGTCGTCGGTGAGGGCCAGGCAGAGCCGGGACTCCTGGGTCCTGGGAAAGGAGGGGTCTGGGACTAGGGTTGCTGGGTGCAGGGATGAGAGGGCTGGAGGCAGAGTCTTCTGGGTTTGGGTACAGATTTAGGGGGTTTCCCCAGGGCTAGCAAATACTGTGTTCCCCTACCCCTTATCCTGCAATTTTATGCAACAAAACTACAATTCCCAGAAAGCAACAGGCGGATCGTCCCTTCACCAGGCCTATCCTTGCCCAGTGGCCCCATGGGTATTGTAGTTTCTAAGACTAGGTGAGCCCTCCATACAGTTAACACTGGAATCTGAGGTTCTGTCTACCCCGCCACAGATGATGCCACACTGGAAAAGGGAACCTGGAGTTTTCTGAAGGAACTGAAACGCATCACGGACAGTGATGTAAAAGGTAAATGCATGGCCCTAACCGGTTTGGCTCAGTGGATAGAGCGTCGGCCTGCGGACTGAAGGGCCCCAGGTTCGACTCCGGTCAAGGGCGTGTACCTTGGTTGCGGGCACATCCCCAGTAGGGGGTGTGCAGGAGGCAGCTAGCTGATCGATGTTTCTCTCTCATTGATGTTATTGATGTTTCTAACTCTATCCCTCTTCCTTCCTCTCTGTAAAAAAATCAATAAAAAAAATATTTTTAAAGATAGGTAAATGCATGGAGGGGACCGGGGAGGGGCTCCAGAATCTCTCAGGGAAGTGATCGATGGTGACACCTGGCCAGGTACTGGGCTCTGGAACCAGACTGCCTAGGTTCGATTCCTGGCTCTGCCACCTGCTAGCTGTGTGGCCTTGCAGCTTTGTCACCCTCCACCGGACACCACAACAGGGCTCTAGTCCCAGCCGTTGCTTAGCCAGTATGTTCAGTGGCCATTCAGTTTCACTGTTCTGAGAGCCAGGCTCTGCAGACAGAGACACACTTCCTGTAGCTCACACCTGGAGGCGGGGAGGGGACCCCTCTGCTTCATCCTGCTTCTTCCCAGGTGAGCTCCTCGTGAAGGAGCTGTTCTGGATGTTGAAGCAGCAAAAGGAGACCTTTGCCAGACACGTTTCTCTGTTCCAAAAAGATGGTGAGGGAAGATGGGAGCTCCGGGCCCCCAGCCTCTCCATCCTCCGTCCAAGAGTCCTTGCCCCCAGCCCCTTGCTTCTCCAAGTCGGGTCCCTCCTCCCTCAGACCCAGGGGTTCAGGCACCCAGATCCTTCCTCCCGCAAAGCTGGGAGCTCCAGCACCAGCCCTGGCCTTTGCCCCCTCTCTCATCCCCTTTAACTTAACAATATGATTGTCTTTTTTTCTTTTTTTTTCCCTCTTCCGAGGCAGCTCTCTGTCCCAACAAATGCGGTGAGTGCGGGGTATGGGAGCTGGTCCTCTTTCCCTCATCCCTACTGTGAATACCCAGCCTTTCTCCTCCCCCTGCTGGGTCTCCTGTGTCTTCATTCTCCGCGCCTGCGAGATTCCGGGTCTCCAGCATTCCTTCTGCACCAAGGCCATCTAGGGGAGCACCCTTTCCCGAGCCTGGTTAGATCCCGGCTTCCTACCGAGCTGCGCTCGAGCCCTGCCCTGCCCCGCGGCCTTGCCCTTGCCCTCTCCTTTTAGCCCCGCCTCTCAGGGGGCGCAGACAGCCTTGACCCTGCTCCCGCAGGTATGATGTTGCAGACTCTGACCTGGTGCGATTCCTGCGAGAAGAAGGTTCACGCTTGTCGGAAGAACATGGATTGCGGGGGTGAGAGAGCTGGGCCCGAGAGGAGAGGTGGGCGCAAAGGGGGCGTGACTGAGTCTAGAGAAGGCCAAGGCCACCGGTCAGCGGAAGAGAAGAGGCGGGGCTGACCCAGTGGAGGGGAGTTGGGGGAAGGCCAAGAGCCATAAAGCGCCATCCCACGGTGACCCCCTGTCCCCAGAGCGCAGAGTCAATGTCCATGAAATGGAAGACATGATCCTGGACTGTGAGCTCAACTGGCATCACATCTCTGAAGGCCTGACTGATTACACCTTTTACAGGGTGGGGGCCTCCAACCCCGTACCCCTTGAACTCCGAGCCCCCAGGCCTGTGTGCCCCCCTGTCTCACATTCCCCATGACCCATGACCTACTAGGTTTGGCTGCCAATGACCCCTTCCGGACCCTACACCCCGACCAGTACACAGGACTCCCATCTCCCCCACTGAGACCCGTGATCTTCTTACCCCTGTACTCCCCCCAACCCCTGAACTTCCCAGGCCTCTGTGACCCCTTGAGCTTGGGTCTAGGTTTGGAAGAACAAACCTGAGAGCATGGTGTACAAGGGTACAGCGCCCACCCTGACCAAGACCAAGGCAACGCCATCGGATGCGGGCACCTACCGCTGCCAGCTGAACACCGTGAACAACAGCCCCGCCACGATCATCCGTTATCATGTCAGAGGTCAGTGCTGGGGAGCTGAGAGAAGTATGGGATTCAGGGGTCTGGGGTTGGGAGCGGCCTGCTTCAGGGGTGTGTGCGGGGGAATAACTTCCTGCCCCGAGTGTGGCTCTGGCCACGTAGGCAGGGTTTCCTTCGGGGTGGGTTCCGGCGTAAGCCGTCGGAGGCACGTTAATTATCTCCTGCTGGGGCCGGGCCGGGGCCGGGAGGGCTCGCCCTGGCTGTGCTGGGACCTACTTGGTGCCTCCCAGGACCATCCCTTTCTCCTCCTCTATCAGTGTTGCCCAAAAGAGTTGTGGAGGAGACGCCGTCCACAAACATCATCCCAAACCCGGAGGATGTGACCCTGGACGAGGTGACTTGGACGCCCAACAAGTCGGCCACCACCACCATCCCGCCTCCGTCGCCGTCTTCGGCGGCCCAGTCCCCGACGGTGGAGAACATGCTGAGAAGCCTCCTGGTCGGGCTGCTGATCTGGGGCTTTGTGGTGCTGATAGCCAGCATTGTCATCTTGTGAGCAGCCTGCAGAGAAAGGCAGGGCTTGGCGTGAGGGGCGGGACTTCCAGTCCAGAGGTGGGTCTGGGAGCCGTGGAGCCCTGAGCCCTGGACTGCCACTGGGGGGTGGGGTGTGGACCACCAGTTGGGGCTTCCCTAGGAGGGTGAAGCTCAGATAATGGCTAGAATAAGATCAGCTATACTGGGGGCTGGGGGCTGACCCGGTTTGGCTGTGTGCACCCCACTGTCTCCCAGGATGCTCTGCTATTGGTCCGAGAAGAATCCTGGGTACTTCATTGATTCCATAAAGTCCTGGGTCAGCACTGCCAAGGAGGCTGCTCAGAGCCCCAACGTTCCAGAGAAAAAGGACAAAAAATCTAGGAGCCAATAAAGATTTATTTGATTGTTTTAAGTATCTGACTCACTCCTCCATACTGATCTCAACTTGGGGTTCCCCGAAGAGGAGAGGTTTGGGGACAGTCTCCTCTCCGAGGGAGGAGGGGCTGGAGCCAGGCCCCCCCGTGGGTCCTGGCAGGGCCCAGCGGGCTGCAGTGCGATCCAGAATTAAGGAGTGGGGCAGAGCCAGCGCTACCCAGATCTCCTCCTCCAGGCCCGGTCCCCTCACAGGACGCCCCCTCCCCGCTCTTCCTGCCGGGTTTCCTCTGGCCTTTTCCTGTCCCCCACCCAGTGCTGGGAGCTGGGGCAGAGGAAAGGCTGAACAGGAGCAGTGGGGTCGGGAGCAGACCCAGGCCGACGGAGCCAGGGCCCCCCGGGGTGCTGCTGGGACCCGAAGCAGGGTAAGAGCTGGGGACCCGGGAGTCCAGATCCCTCCTCCCTCAGATCCAGCACTCAGTCCTCAGCCACTTCCCGTCCCACACCCAGGAGTCCGGGCTCCCTTCCCTTTCCTCTACCCAGACTCAGGAGCCTGGGCCCCAGCCCCCTCCAGGTTCTGACCCAAGTCCAGGCCCTCCCCTCCCCTCCAGCCCATCCCCACTACTCAAAGCCTCAGGAGTCGGGGCCTTGCCCACCTCCCCGTAGGGCCATGCTATCTGGTGAACGGAAGGAGGGCGGGAGCCCCCGCTTCGGGAAGCTGCATCTGCCCGTGGGCCTTTGGATCAATTATCCCAGGAAGCAGCTGGCCAAGCTGGGGCGGCGCTGGCCCAGCGCAGCCTCCGTCAAGTGAGTGCCCTCCTCCCCGGAACTCCGGCCCCTGCCCCGTCTGCCTCCTGCCTGCCCTTGTCGATGACCCAGGCCCTGCACTAGGCAGTGCCAGGGACCTCTGAATGGGCAAGTGAGCTGGTGGTCGGTCGGTCGGTCAAAAGGACACAGTGGGCCACGGCGATCCAGATCCAGGGCCCGGGTGGGGGAGGTGCTGGGCGTGGACACAGGATGGGGACCCAGAAGGCGATGGATTTGATTCACTTCTTTCCCTGATCACCCTTGGAGGTTCCCTTCTGTGGGACTCGCCTACTTATTTATTTCATCTCTTTCCTTGTCTCCGGCTTCTGCCCACCTCGCATCTCCATACGCCCTACGCTCGCTTCCCACCTTTCTGCCCGTCTCTGTCCCGTCTCCATGGGTCTCTGTCACTCTGCCTCGGGGTCTCTGCCCTCCTCCCCCCCAATCTGGGTCTTTGTCCGCCTCCCCCCTTCTCTCACTCCCGCGTCTCTGCGCGTCTCTCTCTCCCGCATCTCCGCTCCTCGGCGGGCTCCCAGGTCTTCC